ACCATTAACCATTTATGATCAACCCCCCCAAACAAAAACAAACATTTATAAACAATATTTGGGAATTTGGTTGTAATTTTCTAGACTACTTCCTGCTGATTAGGGGCTCTGTTGATTTTATGGGGAGCCTGAGAAAATCTAGAATTATGTTCAGATCCTGATTGGGATATTTTGTGTGATTGGTCATCTCAGCCAGTAGTTCTGAAACTGTTGTGGATATTGGATCACCTGGGCCATCATTTCTGGGGGTCTTGTTTGATCAAACCATATTAGTCTGGAAGGAATCCACAGCTTTTCATCTGCTGTGGAAACAGAAGCAGAACCTTTTTTCCAAAGCAACATATCCTTAGACTAAAATTTTGAAGTCAAGATGCCTTTAAAATATATATGTTGGTTTAGCTTAGCAGCCCCCTCATTCAAGTCTCTCTGTAGTTAGCTCATTAACAGTCAAAAAATTTAAAGAAAACACAGTAGTATATAGAATTCCATCTTTACATGTCCCATTATAATGTTTTTTAACTCTTTCTCCTTTATGGACCTCAGTTTATTATCCTTAAATTATTTTTTTTTAATCTATGATTCTACCTGTCTTATATCCTTTCTCTCTCAAGCCCATGCACATTTATCAAACACAGTGTGACCCATTTAGAGGCCTTTTTGTCTGAACTGTTCTTGTTGTGTATCTGTAATCCTTTCTTTGACCAGGAGAGTTTTTAAAAATGGTAAGTGGGCTTGGCTAGGACTAAAGCAGCTGGCTCCACCCCATTCCTTGGCTTCCTGAGAATCTAGCTTCATGGTCAAGGCACTGGCAGGAGCCAGATATATCATTCCCAACTCTCGGGAGGTTTTAGGTCCATACTGCCAGCTACTCATAAAACTCCATATTAGTGTTTGGAGGCAGGGCCCCTTAAAAGAGCAGAGTGGTTTTTGCTGCTCACGCTGAGTCAGGAAGTTGTCTCTTAAAGGAGCTGTGCCTCTGCTTGTCTTTAGCAAACAGAGCCCATCTGTGTTGCTATCAAGAAGCTGTGCTTGACTGTTCTTTTGTGTTTAAAATCCCTTTTTAAGCTTTTGTCAGGTTTTACCTGGAAATTCTTGCTAAACATTTGGGTCCTACATATAGCTGGAGGTTTCTCAGCCTACTCATCAGTTCCTAAATAACACTCTACAGCATAATATTGATTATAATTGTTTGGCCAATGCCTCAGGCATATTGCTGACTAGCTCTCCCAATTAAATTAAACCATTTCTATTAGTCTATATTTTACCACGAGGCTCATGGCTTGTTGCCTCATATCTTGCTTCCCCAGAGGCTACATGGTGTCTCTGATTCCACCTTCTTTCTCTCTGTATCTTTGTTTGGATTTCCCATCTGGCTCTATTCTGCATGGCCATTGACCAAATCAGCTTTATCAAGCAATAAAAGCAACATATATATTCACAGCATACAGAAGGACATTCCACATCAGCCATCAGATGCTAACTACTTATCAGTCCAGTGATTGAGACAGTGATTGGGACAGAGTCCTTAAGGTCCAGTCATTTGCCCAATGCTCTGACCATGCTACACTGGGCAGCAGGACTGTAACACTTAAGACTTCTGGGACAATGCCTCATACCTTTGACCAGTTACAGTGTTGAGATGTCCATTCACTAGCACGGGTAAACAGAATGCAGTCTGTCCATGTGTTGCGTGGCTCTCCCTGGGAGATGTAAACAAATGTTTATCACCCTAGACATGGCACCCATGACAGAGTAGATGTCATTCCACTCACATGGGCATTGTCAAGTTTAATTGAGGGTTACTTGCAGTGGCCATACCACAAAAGTTGTCTAGTTCCCCTCCTTACTCCTCAGGGAGTGGGAGGGCTGGTGGGTCTACAATACTACCTTGCACCCAGAATGGGCCCTTCATGCACTGCCTTGTGAGCCTCCCCCGTTTGCCCTTCTTTAGGGGGATGTTAATAGGCCAGAACTAACCCAGCAAGCTGAGTCCTTGGCCCCTCCTGCCCTCCGTGTTTTCTTGATTACCCAGTGCCTTCTTTTTGAGGCTTGCACTTTAATTTCCATTCTAAGGCAGTCTCTTGCCAGACCTCTGAAAAATGCATGGTTTGCTAGCACCAGCCAACAAAAGTTTAAGAGGACCTTTGTTGTCCTGTGAATTTCCTGGTTTTTTTGTTGTTGTTGTTTTTGTTTTTTGTTTTTGGTCAGCAACCCTCCTTCTAGGAAGGGGGCAGTGGCAGAGTGTTGAAGACTTCTTCATGGAAACATTAAGCATTTGTTTAGTAACTGGATTTAAAAGTTCCTCTGTGCCTGCACTGAACCAGCAGTCCTGAGATGAGTCAGAGCTAGACTGTGATGGCCTTTTCACAGGTTGGGAGTGGGGCTAAGTACCTGGTAAGCGTTCCTTGGAATCATGCCTGTGCCACAAGAAGGACAAAGTTCAAAAGTATGGGCTGGAAGAAGCTTCCAGGTACTGGGGAGAGGCCAGTGATCTACAAATTTTCTTTAGTATTTCTGGTTATGTTTTTATGCAAGGCTTATGCTTGAACTCTTGCAAGTCAATGTGGGAAGCAGAAGTCTAATCAGAGAGGCTTCTGGGTACCCTGCTTTTGGTGTTCTCTCAGGGAGTGACTGACCTCTGCTGCTTTTCCTAGTTTGTGGGAAACTGGATTTGTGGTGTGATGAGAAGGGCTCCTATAAACATAGGCCCTCTCCTTCTGTGAGATGCCGAAGAGCCCAGCAGGAAAGCAGTTCATAGTACTTCTACCACTGAGCTGTATTCCCCCGGCTTTCTTCACCGCTTGTAACCTCTGATATCGTGTAACTATGAGCAATGGTTGTAGGACTTGTCATCCATTCTGTAGACCAGACAGGGTTTGGGTTTGGTTTTTGACTAGTTTCTTTATGGATCTATAGCGCCACCTGCTGGCTGTAGAGATATTATATAAACATGCCATGATGGTGGAGGTTTAGAAATCTCTGTATTCCTGCTGAAGTTTGACTGTATTTGCTGTAAGTATCCTGAATAAGAGAAACATCTTAGCAAGCAGTGGGGGAGAAGTGAGGAATCCTCACACTGTTTACAGCTCAGTATCCTTCCCTGTATCTTTTGTTCCCTTCGTGATACCGACCTGGCGGCACTATGTAGTCTGCCATCAGATGAGATTGTCATAGCACACTGGTCTTCTTTTTCATAGGCACATGGCAGAGCTGAGATTGGCATAGGTGAGCCTGGAGGGTGACTCTGCACAGCTATTGACAGGGTCCTAGCATCTGTTTCTTGCTAGGACTTTGCAGCCATCTCTGAGGTAGTTAGTACTCAGTCAGATTCTGGTACTGCTGAGCACACGACACAACCATGTAACCTTGGGCTTCACGAGGAAGGAGTTTTAGTTAGAGAAAAGGAGTTTTTATTTTAGTTTAGTTTTGTTCCTTAATTTCACTTGTATAATAGAATTGTACATCAGCCAGGCCTGGGATTGCTGGAGGACCTTGCACAGGATGGGAAGGAGGTTTGACTTTGTTGAAGGCAGGAGCTGAAGCCTTGTCTGGACTGGCCCTGCAAGGATCTTACATCTCTGACTAGCCCCCTCTGTGTTACCTCAGCATTGTCGCAAGCCAGGAGGAGCAGTGGGGACCTCCCGTCTTCTCCTTGGCCGTAGCTTGGGTTTAGCCTCTGCATTGGTGTTCTTTCGCACAGGATCTGGGATGGCGTGGGCCTCTGTGTCATCTGTGTGCTCCCCCAGTTCTTAGATCCTTACTCACAGAGTAGGTGCTTACTGCCCATGGCTCTGTAGATGCGTTCGTTTGTGTGTAGTGGGGCCGACCTTCCTCAGATACCTGTTCCTGGGATTGAAGTAACACGAAGCATCTTCCTCTTCTACATGCATACACATGTGTACATGTACAGACACACCCTTATCCAAACCTTCTTTAGCCCCATGTGAACTAAAAACAGTGTCTCAAGGCATCAAAAGGAGCAGTCTAGAAGAGGCCAGCACTGACCTAGAGCAGATGTGTTAGAGCAGGGGCCAGGTAGGAAGAGCTCTTTAAAGAGGAAGAAGCGTGTGTGTCAGACACAGAGTAGAAGGGACATGGATGTCTCATGACTATTTTGCAAGCCCCAGTCAGTGCTGTCATCAATTGTAAGAGTATGTATGCCTCAAAACCCTAGAATTGGATACTGGAGAGGTGACTCAGTGGCTAAGAGCATTTGATGCTCTTTCAGAGGACCCAAGTTCAGTTCCCGGCACCCACATCAGATGGCATATAACTGCCCTATAACTAAAGTTCCAGAAGATCTAAAGCCTTCTTTCACCCTCCATGAGTGCACACACATAAGAAACACACACACACACACACACACACACACTTTAAAATAAATCTAAAAAGTTCTTGTACAGGAAGTTGAAAGCACTCAGACTAGGCTACTAACAGGTAACATGAGCTCCCTGGTGGCACAGCCATCTTGGTAGTTCATTTTCCCAGGTGCTGTGCCAGCAGCCACCTTTTAGCGGCTGAGAAGAATCACTTTCTCAGATGGCTTGAGATGGGCTGTTGGCGGCTGAAAACAAAAGTTGTTGGCCAAGGCCTGGTAGAAAGTGCCTGGTTCCCGTGGTCACTTGATATTAGTCTAGGCTGGCTTTGAATTCAGTCTTCCGCCTCTACATCCTGAGTGCTGGGAATAAAGATGTATGCTACCAAATCTCACAACATGTATTTTAAATGTTTAATTATGAGAAACGTTAAGGGTAAGCAGGAGCCCAAAGCATCCAACAAACCTCATGTCTGCTCACGAATTGCAGCATGTCCTCTAAGCCTGAATATTGTCACACCCCACTCTCCTCATATGCTGTAAAGAAATCCTGGAGTGACTGTGTTCAGTCAGGTCTGTCCATCTTGTAATGGATCAACCCAGGGTTCTGGAGTCTAGAATGATTGGGTCCCACTTTTATTTTCTGAAGAGCTAGTGACTCTCCCCTCTTTGTCTTGTTTTCCAGTGGGAAATTAGTGTCTCCAAAATGGAAAAACTTCAAGGGCCTGAAGCTCCAGTGGCGGGACAAGATCCGGCTCAACAATGCCATCTGGAGGGCATGGTACATGCAGTGTAAGTGTTGCAGGCTTGGCAGTGGGTGGGTTATGCCACAGGGGCCCTTGATTCTGTGGTATCAGAGCTCTACATCTTGGAGGCCTGAGCACCTCAGGTCTGTAACCTGCTCTTAAAAGATGTTTGAGTGTCTGTGATAGGAAACCAAGTGATCATACATCCCAGGAATCAGGCCATTCACCAGCCATCAGGCAGAGTCAGCCAGCAGAGCCCAGAGTCTGGAGGGACAGACATATAAGACCTTGACCATAGTGTGTAGAGTGCATGCTGGGTACTTGAGCCCTAAGGAGAGTTGAGAATGTAGCCAAGAGGTGATATTTAAGGATCCAAAGAGCAGTTTCTGTTTCTAGCAGGTTAAGAAGACATGGGTACCACTATAGAGCTTACTCCTGGCTAGCTTGAGGATGGGAGGATGTGGGCTTGAGCAGTGGACGCTCCCACTCACTGGCTGGCTGCCTTTGTGTTGATGAGCAGCTTCATTTCTTACTCGGTTTTCACTGGCATTCTTTGCCTTGGGCCTGCATGCTCCAGTGGAAGAAGGGTGTGACCGTTTGAGTAGAGCTCCTTCAGACATCTTGTGCAGTTATGATGTTTTTCTTCTCTCAACCCAGATTTGGAGAAACGCAAGAATCCTGTGTGCCACTTTGTCACTCCACTAGATGGCTCTGTTGATGTGGATGAACACCGCCGGCCAGAGGTACTTAACCAGCAAGTGATTCAATAGAGGGTAGAAGGAAGTGTTCTGGAAAGGAACCCTGCCTTCATTTCTCAAGAAACAACGCACCAAAGGGCCACATTCTGTGGGGAAACAGAGTGGAATAACCGAGCCTGTGCTGTGCTCTTAGTAGACATGAGGAGGGACAGTTCCCAGCCTCTGACAGTTGCCAGCCTCCCGGAGTCTATCCATACTCCTTACATATCCCTAGACAAGCTGACCTTATGGGGCTTCATTCTCTGCTTTCACATAAAGTTGGTATTTCTTCTGGGAGATCTTCAGGGAAGGCTGGCTGTCTAACAGATAGAGAAGAGCACATGCATGTCCTCTAGAGCCATCCCTAATGCCACCAGCAAAACAACGACTCCAAAAAAGTTAGAACTCCGTGTTGTTCAGCTCACACTGGAGGTGCAGACCGTAGCATGCACCAAGCCCTGGCTTCCATCCCCAGTACCACATAAACTGGTCATGATGTCAAAACCCTGCAACCCCAGCACTGGGGAGGCAGAGGCAGGGAAATCAGAAGTTTAAGGTCATTTTTGATACATAAAGAGTTTGCCCTATCTGAAAAAACAACTTAAGATGGATGAAAAGAGGTTGAAGGAAGAGTGGCTTATTTTACTTTTACATTTTGTTTTCTTATTTTGCTACTAAGGATAGAATTCAGGGCCTCTTCCATGCTGGTCAAGTGTTATACCATTGAGCTATACTGCCTGCCTCAAAGAACTAAATTAAAAAAGTCTTTAGATGTGTGCGCGCGCGCATGCATGCAGGTCAGAAGACAACTTTTGAGAGTCCTTGCCTTTGACCATGTGGATCCCAAGCCCAGGGTCATCACGCTTGATGGCGGTGCCTTTACCCACTGAGCCATCTCACCACCCCTCACCTTCACTCTTTGAGAGCATGACAGATGTGCTGCAAAGGGGCATTTGTGGGCCACCTGTGAGTTTCCTTAGCATCCGCAGGCAAGGAGGAAGCAGCTCTTCTGCGTCCTGTGTGAGTGCTGTGTGCTTCCTGTACCCAGTGCAGTCACCCTTGGTGTCATTTTTAGCCAGCCTGAGGCCGAGTGCAGTTCAGAAGAGAAGAGCTGTGCCCAGGGAGTGCAGCTGTTGTCTCTGAAGCAGCCTGGGGGTTTTCTGACCAAGAGAACTATCTGAGGCCGCTTCAGTGACGGATGCTGGGTGCTCGTGGGCTGACATTTGATCATCATCCAAGACCTGCTTTTCATGTTGGCCTCTCGGTTGTAGGCCATCACCACAGAGGGCAAATACTGGAAAAGCCGCATTGAGATTGTGATCCGGGAATATCACAAGTGGAGAGCCTACTTCAAGAAGCGGGTATCTACTGGCGAGGGCCCTCAGAAGAGCATGTTCTGGGAGTTCAGGGCCAGGGCTCGGGGTTGGATGGGCAGGAGATGGGCCTGTATTCAGAATGTGACCCTAGGCTTAGGCTCCACAGCTGTCTCACCAGTCATGGAGCATGGCGTGGGAATACTGGACTCAACAGTGGCTGTGGTTTCCTCGGCCATGCATAGGGTTTCTCTGGGTGCACATTCATGGGATGCACCCAGCAGGATCCCATCCCCTAGCTGGCTTCCCACATAGTTCACTCACAGATGAGGAGGTGAAGTTGGGGCAGCCCAGGGTTCTCGGCGGCTGCCCCATCGTGTCCCTCCCACTTGCCCCCAGCTGCAGCAGCACAAGGACGAAGACCTCTCTAGTCTGGCCCAGGTAAGTGAGCTTGCATGCCCTGCCCTGACAAGATGCAGCAGTGACTTTGGTGCCCCAAGAGAGTCCTGTAGTGGAAGGCCAGACCCAGGAGCAGCTCCTGTTCACTTGGAGGCCCTGCAGGTGGCCCAGGAAGCAGGTGCACTCTCTGTTGGGTAGGCTAAGGGAATAGCTCTGAACGCCTGCGCTTCCTCGCCTCTTTTACAAAGCAACCCTTTAACGCGTGCCAGGACTGAGGATAGTAAGTCCCACTGCCTTTTGACTCTTCCTCCCCTGTTGGCTAGGATGATGACATGCTCTATTGGCATAAACATGGAGACGGCTGGAAAACTCCAGTCCCCATGGAGGAGGACTCACTGTTGGACACAGACATGCTCATGTCAGAATTCAGTGACACCCTCTTCTCCACACTTTCTTCACACCAACCAGTGGCCTGGCCCAACCCACGGGAAATAGGTAACTAGTCTCTGCCCTAGGACAACTGGCTTCCTTCTCCATGAAGATTCCTCTAGGCCAGGCTTTGCTTCAGGGCGTCTCTGAGCTGTTACTTGACACTTGTTTAGGCTAGGCAAAGGAAAAAAGAAGGATTGCCCAAGCTCCTTGTCTGAGGGTCTGGTGCAGGCATGGGCGGGGACTGGAAGTGGGGGCTACAGGGGTGGCCACTCTTCTTTTAGTCCCACAGTGAAGAAGCAGCAGGCTCTGATCTGAGCTGCTTCTGATACTGTCCTCGTAGTGTGGGGTGTGTTCCGTGAATACTGCGCTCACGGCATCTCACCTGGAGGCCTCCAGTCTTGCAGGGATGGGCGGCTGTGGGGATGTAAAGTGGGGTGGAAGGTTGGGGCTGCTCTTATATTCCTGGTGATTCTAGCATTGCCTGTCTTTCCTGTCTTCTGAGGGTGGAGAGATCATAGCTATCTGAGATGAGACTGGCCACAAATCCCCAAGAATGTGGAAATCCCAGTCAGCTTCCTACTTTGTTAGAAGATTCTAGAGTGGGTAGGGCCAGGAGGGTCTGTTTCAGAACTAATTGTATGTTTTCCTTTGACTTCGTTTGAGGTAAACGTGTTCCCCTATCCCACTTGTAATTCTTGCAGCACATTTGGGAAATGCAGACATGATCCAGCCAGGCCTGATCCCTTTGCAACCCAACCTGGACTTCATGGACACCTTTGAGCCTTTCCAAGGTGAGGGCAAAGGGTAACATGATACTTGGATCTCCCCTGCCTATCCCTTATCAGACGAGTACCCCTTTTGTAGAGAGGACAGTTGGAAATGTGTGTAAAGGAAAGGTTTAGTAACTGCAAAACCTGGAGAAGTTTACTGGGACATTGGAAGGGAGTTGGCGTTCTCAAGAGTGAGTGCATTCTTCCTGCTCGGAAGCATCCTCTTGGCCTTGACTGTGAGCAGTTCCTTCTCTAGGCAGCAGAGGGCACTGTGACACAGCCACTTGCCAGTAAAGTTCCTGACCTGAGGTTAGGTCACCTCACTGAGCTTGGCTGTTTTCCAGACCCGAAACACTTGGTATTGCAAATGTTCCAATCAGAATCCTCTTTCTATAGAAAAAAATTATCTTTGGGGGGAGGGGTGTGGGGTAGGGTCCAGGTCCCTGCTTATGTGTCATAATTCTAGAAAATGGTAAGCTCACAGACTTCAAAAGACTCTCATGTTCTTTTCCAGATCTCTTCTCTTCCAGCCGATCCATTTTTGGCTCCATGCTGCCTACACCTACGTCAGTACCTGCCCCAGATCCCAGCAGCCCACCTTCTCAGGTAGAGGAAGCTGGGGGAGCAGGCAGGCAGGAAGACAGGGCTATCTTCAGACTTTACAGCCAGAGCTAGGCTAATGCTGTGACCCTGAATTGACAACATGCTGGGGCCATTGCTGGATCCAGTGCTGAATGCATGTGGATGCAAAGAAATTATGGAGCCCTCTTTGAAAGCACCCTTAACTCCCCACAAGGTGGGAGTGTTTTCCTACCTAAGGGCCCACGTGATCTTTCTCCAGCCAGCCCTTTTCTTTCTTTTTTGGGGGTGGGGGGAGGGATTGTTTTGTTTTTATGTTCGTTAGTGTTTTGCCTGCATGCATGCCTGTGTGACAATGTCAGAAGCCCAGGACTAGAATTATAGACAGGTATGAGCTGCCATGTAGGTAATGGGAATCAAACCCAGATCCTCTGAAAGAGCAGCTAGGCCATCTCTCCAACCCCAAGCTAGCTCTTTTCTAAAACAAGATTAGTTACAGAAGAAAACATGGATCACTAATGAAAATATATTGTTTATTATTTTTATTTTTTATGTAGCAATTAATAAAAGGCAATTACAGGTGTTAGGGCTACAGAGCTGGCTTAGGCATAGTTCTCTGCCCTGGAGGAGCTCTCAAGTTGGTACTGTATTCGCTTAGTCACCGGTAACCTGGCACCTTCCCCACCTAGCTCAGATAATCGTTTCCTCTGTAAAGACAGATCTGCACCGGTGATTCCTCATAGCTTCTCCACTCAGGAAGAGCTAGCCTGACTGCCAGTTGATACTGGAAGCCGTCCTGGGGGAACCCCTGAGCAGCTGTGGTCTAGGCTGCTTCTGCTCTGTAACAGAGGATGGCAGGGACTATGGGGAAACCTGGACCAGACTCTAGAAACCAGATATCCATGGGCTTCTGTGCAGCTTTGTCTGAGCTCTGTGTTATCATTAGTTCTTTATGGAAACAAGACCCCTGCTGACACCCAGGGAACACAGATCCATTTCCCCAGTAGAGAAGTGTGTTGGGCCTAGGAGATAACATTTCTATCCCTTAGTCCTTTGGTCCCTCAGTAACCATGTCCACAGTTAGTCTTTGTGTTATGTAATGCTAAACAGTGAGAACTAATTATCTAATCATAGCTTTTGTTTCTTCATGTCTCTTCCTTCCTCAGGGGAACATCTTGCCAAATACAGCTCTTCCCACTGTGAGCCTGCCCAATAGCCTTGTTGCATCTTCTGCAGCCCCCTCCCTGGATCCCACAGATGGGCAGGGTTGTGAACGCACTTCCCAGACTGTGGACACATTTATTCAGCCTGCAGACTTTGGTCCCTCTGAGCCACCACTGAGTGTCCCCCAGCCCTTCCTCCCTGTCTTTACTATGACCTTACTTTCCCCTGGCCCTGCTCCAGCACCTGTCCCAACTGCATTGCCCTTAGTCTCTCCTCCTGCCTCTACTCTGAACCCCTCAACCCCACCAGCTTTCCTACAGCCACAGAAGTTTGCTGGAGTCAGCAAATCAACCCCTGTCATTACTCACACAGCCTCTGCCACTCTTACCCATGATGCTTCTGCCACCACCTTCAGCCAGAGCCAGGGCCTTGTCATTACAGCACACCACCCAGCCCCTTCATCATCCCCCTGTGGTCTGGCACTATCACCCATACCCCAGCCACCCCAGCCTCATTTAACTTTTATACACCCCAAACCTGTGTCCTTGACTGGAGTGAGACCCAAGCAACCCCCCAAAATAGTGCCTGCTCCCAAACCTGAGCCTGTATCCTTGGTGTTGAAGAATGCCTGCATTGCTCCAGGTGAGTTGGGTTAGGCTGGGCTTAGCCTGCCAAGAATGCCAAGGGAATAACGTTTCCCTTTCTCAGAGGCTTTAAAATCCTATCACCTCCTTCCCTCTTCAAACAAACAGAACAGTGTGGATAATTCATACGTGCAATCTGCCTTTCTATTCTGTATGGTTAAATGTTGTCCAGTCCTGGTCTGGGTGTGGTGCCCCATAGCTGTAACTCCAACACTTGAGAGGCTGAGACAGGAAGATTTTGGGTTTGAGGCCAGTCTGAGTTAATATAGTAAGTCTCAGGTCAGCCAAGGCTATATAATGAGACCTTGTTTAAAGAAATTAAAATTGGGCTAGTGAGATGGCTCAGGAAATAAAGACACTGCTAAGCCTTAGTCTGATCCCCAGGATCCACATGATGGAAGGTGAGAATCAGTTTCCACAAGTGTCCTCTGACTTCCACACATGTATTATGACACATGCATACCTGCACACATGTACACACCACACAAAATGTATAAAATATAATTTAAAAACTAAAGTAGATAAAAATAAGAATTAGACCTAAAAACATGCTTTGAGAATACATGGTCATGGTCATCTCTTTCTAGGGACTATAATAGGACTCTGTCAAGTGAAAATATAAAAGTGTTTCAGATGCCCTGGGGCTTTGTCTCCCTGCCCCCTTGGTAAGGAGCCACGTGCTTCACTAGCAGTGAATGTGATACCCTGGCTTTTCCCGCCATCTGCAGCTCGGCCATTTCGTTAATAGCAGCTCAGGCTGAAGGGTCAGGCCCTCACTGTCACCCCTCTTCATTCCTACAGCTGCCTTCTCAGGCCAGCCACAAAAGGTGATCATGACATCAGCTCCTCTGAAGAGGGAGGGGATTCTGGCATCTACTGTGTCCCCATCCAATGTGGTCATTGCTCCTGCTGCCATCACCAGGGTAAGGAGAACTACTAGGCAGGCCTTTAGTGTCCTCACCCCACAGTGGCCTGTGTTTGTGTGCCCTCTATCAGTGGTACATGACCTCCCTCCTGTGTCTCCTTAGGCTTCTGGAGTCACAGAGTTCCTCAGCCACAACACAAGCAACCAGCCTACACCTGTCTCTCGGCTCTTCTCTCCAAGTACAGTGCAAGACTCCCTGGTGAAGGGCGAGCAGGTTCCACTGCATGTGGGTAGTACCCAGGTCCCTGCCACAGGCGCTAGTGAGTATCCTCCTGGCTGAGGTGGTTGGGGCTTCATGGAGGAAGTGAGCGGCTTGCCCCCGGTGGGGAGGCCATTCACAGGTTCCCATAATCAAGCTGGGCCTACAGAACTTTAGTCTGCATAGGCTGGGGAAATGGTTACTGGGCATCAGGGTAGCTGTAGCCACTCCAGAAGAATATGGGTGCAAGGGGTGACAGGTATGTCACAGCAGGGAAGAGCTGGCACACTCAGGAAACCACACACAGAAGGCCAGGCTGCCAGCTTCATCCAGAAAGGGGCTGAAGATTCTTGTCAGCAGTCTGGAAAACTTGAGCCTTGTTTGCTGTAGCTATGAAGCCAACAGCAGGATTGTTACAACCATCTCTCCTCATTTCTAAACCACTGCAAATCTGTGGCCATTTTCATAACCTTACGACTGAGGACAGTCAGGACAGTACTGGGTTTGTGTGCGTGCGTGCGCGCGCGCGCGCGTGTGTGCGTGCGTGCGTGTGTGTGTGTGTGTGTGTGTGTGTGTGTGTGTGTGTGTGTGTGTGTGTTTTCTGTTTGGTTGGTTTGATTTTGGTTTTTTGATACAGGGATTCTCTGTGTAGCTTTAGAACCTGTCCTGCAACTTGATCTGTAGACCAGTCTGGCCTTTAACTCACTTCTGAAGTCTACCTGCCTCTCCCTTCAAGTACTGGGATTAAAGGTGTGAGCCACCGTCTCCCAGCGACAGTACTGGTTTTGCCTGGTGACTTGTGTAGTCAGAAGGTCGGGCAGGGGATGGGGTCCTGTGTCATCAGTATTGGGCTGCAGGTAGAACTTGGGTTCCTTCCAGTGCCATAGTGGGAAAGGAGCTAGAAACACAGCCTGTCACTGTGCTGCTCCTTAATGCCTTTTCTCCTTTGCCAAAACCATGGCTGCTTCTGAGTGTCTTACCCGGGAAGACATGATAAGGAAGGGTTTCCAGCTGAGAGGGGTGGACTTATCCAAGGGCAGCTGTTGCACAATGGGATTCTTCAGTCTGGAAAGATACAAACTCAAGAGCTAGAAGTCAAGTTTCTCATATTATCCAGGGAAGGGAGGCTGGCCTTGCCTGTGGGTCCATAAAGCATGATGTTTAGAGCTGTGAACTGAGGCCTGGGAATCTAGCAGAAAAGAAATTTAACTGGAAGCATTTGTTAGAATAAAGTGAAACAGGCCAGGCAAGTTCTAAGGGACTTAGGAAATGGCTCCCAAGGGGCACCAGTGAGTGGGACTTATGTCCTATGTGACCCATGTAGGTCACAGCAATGCTGTGGTCTCTATTCTGTGTGGATCAGAAGGTGGTAGTACTTTTTATTTAACATTTTCAGTGAGTGAAAGAGTAAGAAAGTATACATGTAGAGTTTAAAGAACAAAAGTAGAGCACATGCCAGTATGCTGAGCACGTGGGTGAAGAGCTACTTATGGCCTTATAAAGCTGTAAGGGTCTCTGGCTGCCTTGAGGTGACATTTTAGGGATTGGGTTTTCAGTTCAACCTTTCCTCTGAGCAATTGCTGACATCAGGCCATATTCCATCCACATCCAGCTTGCCCTGGAAACAAGAAATCCCCTTAGGGATATGGGTAAGGGTTTCTCCAATATTTTCTCTGGGGTAGCCATAAAAGGTTAAAAATGGACTTCCAAGCCTAAGGACTTGCAGGGAGTCCCTGCTGTGGGGCCAGGACAGGAAAGCCTCACTTCTTATTTTTCCTGTCCCCTCTCAAGGTTTGCCTGTTAACAGAATTTTTTTTCCTCAGGCCGTGACTGTCCCAACTCAGGGCAAGCCTCTCCATGCCCATCAGAACAAAGTCCCAGTCCTCAGTCTCCCCAGAACTGCTCAGGGAAATCCACAGACCCCAAAAATGTGGCCGCATTAAAGGTATGGCTGATTTCTCTTGTGTCTTGATTTCCTTGGAGGGGTTCGTAGGGAAGGAAGAGGGAGAGCTACAGATCCAGAAACACTAAGGTTAAATCAGCTCCAACCATTCCCATCCTACTGCAAGTCCATGGTGACTAGGGCCTGTTCAGAGCCCAAGGACCAACCCCGAGTCCTCCTGACACGGTAGGGGTGCGTGTGACCCCGAGTCCTCCTGACACGGTAGGGGTGCGTGTGACCCCGAGTCCTCACGACACGGTAGGGGTGCGTGTGACCCCGAGTCCTCCTGACACGGTAGGGGTGCGTGTGACCCCGAGTCCTCCTGACACGGTAGGGGTGCGTGTGACCCCGAGTCCTCCTGACACGGTAGGGGTGCGTGTGACCCCGAGTCCTCCTGACACGGTAGGGGTGCGTGTGACCCCGAGTCCTCCTGACATGGTAGGGGTGCGTGTGACCCCGAGTCCTCACGACACGGTAGGGGTGCGTGTGACCCCGAGTCCTCCTGACACGGTAGGGGTGCGTGTGACCCCGAGTCCTCCTGACACGGTAGGGGTGCGTGTGACCCCGAGCCCTCCTGACGTGCTGGGGTGCGTGTGACCCCGAGTCCTGCTGACGTGCTGGGGTGCGTGTGACCCCGAGTCCTCCTGACGTGCTGGGGTGCGTGTGACCTTGGCCACACCAGTTGCAGGGAGGAGGTTGGACTATAAGCACTGGGTTGTGGAGAAGCAATAAGTCTGGCCGCCAGGGGCCAGGGCACACACTGCTGCCCAGCCCGTGAGTCCTGCCCACGTGGTCCCTGCTGCCTCGCTCCTATTAGAGCTTTTTAGTCTCTCCCTCTGCATAGTTTTTTGGCCCTGGCTTGTCATGTGCCCCGAGACACAAGTCTTTCTTTGGCTACTCAGCATTGTATTGGGCAGCAAGGAGGAACAAGTTGGTTGCCTGTGTCTCAGTGACCAGTTGATTCCTCAATAGAACCGGCAGAAGCACATCTCAGCTGAACAGAAGAGGCGTTTCAATATCAGGATGGGCTTTAACACCCTCAACAGTTTGATCTCCAATAATTCCAAGCAGGTAAGTTGCCTGGGAATGGCAAGGTATCATGATATTGCATCCTTCCTGTCTGCCGCTGGCCTAAGAACTGCCGCATCTGAGCCACCTGTCCTCCACAGACCAGCCATGCCATCACACTGCAGAAGACCATGGAATACATCACCAAGCTGCAACAGGAGCGGATGCAGATGCAAGAGGAGGCCCGGAGGCTTCGGGAGGAAATTGAGGAGCTCAATGCCACCATCATGTAAGGTTCCATTTGAGCACCCCACCCCATGCATTTCTATGTCTCAAAAGCAGAGGGACCCTTTGTGGTCTTTGCTACCTATATTGCAGCAGTTTAGCTCCCTGTACTCCTCCCACAGGCCTCTGCCTATATCTGGCTGTGTTTTGCCTGGTTGGTCCCCCAGGGCCCTGCTCCACCATCACCTGCCCCAAAGCATCCCCTGACTACTGTTGTTTCAGCTCCTGCCAACAGCTGCTACCTGCCACAGGAGTCCCTGTCAACTGCCGTCAGTTTGACCACATGAAAGATATGTTTGATGAATATGTGAAAAGCAGGATCCTGCAGAATTGGAAATTCTGGATTGTATCCTTGGATTTTCCTTGCTCTTCCCTTCCCCAGGCAGCACACTGAAACAGTAGACAATGCTCTCGGGCACCCCTTGAAGAAGAAAGGTTCTCACAGTTAGAGTTCAGAAAGAGAAGGCTCTGGGCTGGCCCTAGGGGCTGGAGAGATCACATCCAAAAGGCTTCATGGGAAGGGGTAGGTGGTGTGGTGACCTGCTTTACTCTCCTGTCTTTTGCTGCTGAACTCAAATGATCCTCCTGCCTCAGCCTCCCAAGTAGCTATAGGCGGGCTTTGAAACCTGTTCCCTCAGATTTCTCCCTGCCTTTGTGTCCCCTAGTCTTGAGTATCATAGTAAAGTGTGTCTACCAGGTGCCAGGACCTGTCTTAGGGCCAAGGCTCTGATCTCGGCCTTTGAGACGGCAGCATTGCTGTTGTAGGATGATTACTGTCTATCTGCTCCACAACAACCTCTGCTCAGAACATGATCAGTGTGTGACAGGTCACCTACGGCATAGGACAGCCAGTGGGAAAAGACAATTGTATGGACAGAGAGAAAGCATTGTGAGAGTGAATTGTGTATGTGTGTGTGAGAGAGAGAGAGATGGAGAGAGAGAGAGAGAGAGAGAGAGAGAAAGGGAGAGAGGGAGAAAGAGATAGAGGGAGAGAGAGGAGCCCTGTGCTTCAAAGCCAAGTTGATTATATTTTTTTTGCTTGTTGGTTTTTGAGACAGTCTCACTTGTAGTGTAGGCTGGTCTGGAACTTGCTTTGTAGCACAATACTGCATATCCTCTCCCTCTTAGGCATACCGCCATGCCGATTTGTGTATTTGTACTTTTATTAGTATTGAAGATGAGACACAAGGCCTCACGTACACTATCTAGGTAAGAACTCCATCAGTGAGCCGACAGTATGCCTCATTCCCTAACTTGTTTTACTATATTACTTTCTACCAGTGGTCAATAAAATGGCACATTCTTCATTTTCAGACCAAGGTGGGTACTGAAGACATCAGAAACATTTCTGTCTCCCCTGGACCCATCCTATGACCTTTTTTGGGAGCTCTGCAAAAAGTGGTGAGCTTGCAGGCTGTGTACAACACGAAAGTCAGGCCTCAACTTCAGACAGACACTTTGCTCTTGAGTGTTGTATGCTGTGCTTCTCATGTTCCTGGCAGCCCACGTGGCTCCTCTTTCCCCACAGCCGTCTCCTGTAACTGACTGACCTATGGTCTCATGTTCATTCCATTGTGTTTACCCCGTATCTAGCTGAAGAAACTTGTTTTTCTGTCTTCTGTCTACTCAAAGATCACTCATAGTAAGAGCAAACCGCTGACTCTCACGGTGGGCACTCTTTGCCTAGCAATACCTGACCTGTCCCTTCGTCTCTCTGATCAGTTTTCTGTCGGCAATTCTTTGCCATTTCTGAGGGAAGTCAGCAGGTAAGCCTGGCTTGCTTGAGTCTCCTTCCTTTATCTGTGTGCTCCTTAGCCCTCCTCAGTGCCCACGTTTCCTTAACACAAGTGCCGTAGTTCAGCATGATCATCAAGCCGCTGTTTGAGTCTTTCAAGGAGATGGTGTCCACCAGCAGCCTGGAAGAGTTTCACCGGACGGCGCTTTCCTGGCTGGAGCAGCACTGCTCTTTGCCTGTCCTCAGGCCAAGTGAGTGTGGGATGCCAGAGTTTGGGACTTCATGTTGGTCCTGAGAGGAGAAAAACCCTCACCGGGGTAGTGCTTAGGAAAGTTTACACTCTACTGCACAAAACCAGGCCAGCCAGGTCAGAGGTACAAGGACCAGAAAAGCTGGAGGAGCCAACATGGGTCCCTGCAGGCCTGCAGTCTAAGCAAATCCAACTTACATTTATTGAATATTTGCTGTTTGTCAGACTCTTTGTTTTAAGTGAATTTGGTGTTTTCTTACTTAATTTCTTATTTAGTTCTAAAGCTACAACCATATGTTAAAGTTATAGAAGTTCAGTATTAAAGCAAGAGCAATGCTCCGGCAGTAGGAATGGCTCAGAATCCTTGGGCTATTTTGCAGCCCCTCTGGGATCTACATAGGCAGATGTGACACTGGGTTCCAGAATGGGGCCTCCACCACTTTTCCCTGCAGTTGAGCTCTGGCCATCATCCTTGGTGCTTGGGAATCACTGCCTAGGGTTGCATGTGTGAAGTTTACATCCTGTCTTTCTGAGTTTTGTGTTCCAGGCTAATGACTGCCTCTCTCACACACAGTGGTACTGAGCACCCTCCGGCAGCTGAGCACCACCACCTCCATCCTCACAGACCCATCCCAGTTGCCAGAACAGGCGTCAGAGGCTGTTTCCAGGATTGGCAAGAGACTGGGGGAGTCCTAAGTTTAGTTGTCATGTGGCTGCATGAGATGCCTGAAGATCCCCCTGTACCCTTCCTGATGCACCGCCTCAGGGCTGCCCTTGACTCCAGTGGCCCACTGCACCAGTCAGGGTGATGCTGTGCTCAGGTCTGAAGCAGGTTTGGACCTGCCCACAGCCGTGTCCCATCTTGGGAACTCTTGCTGTGACCTCTAACTCAGTGACCTCAATCACCAGTCTCCCCTGCATTTGGGGTGACCCAGACAAAGGGAAACATCGGCTGTTGTAGTCTTGCTCTCCTCGTGGCCTATTGGAGTACAATGCCATCAAGTGGAAGGCAAGGAGACAAAGCCTGCTCCTGTGGTGGTGAGGGTCATCCCGGGTCCTCAGAATGCCTTTCTTGAGACTTAGAGACTTGACCCCTATCGCATTGTTACCTACTTGTGCTCCTCTGGCAACCCCTGCACACTTTCTGACCACTATAGCAGCAGTGAAGTCTCTAACTCCTGCAACCCTGGCAGCCCTCGATCCGCTTGGCTACTGTTCTGACATCTGCAGAAAGGAATGTGCCTCCTCCCTGGTGTGTTCTATTGGAGGGGGAAATCTTCTCCACAAACCCCAGAGCACACATGGAAAACAATGGGTGCGGAGGCCAGCTGGACAGGACGACACCGCAGGCACTGCAAGGCTGCTGTTCTGGGTCAGAGTCCCTCCAAGCAGTGTCCTGTCTATGAGGTCTCAGTTCTGCCCGGCGTTGCAGTCACCATGACCTTCCCAGCTTTGCCAGGGACTTCGCCCACCTGAGGCCCTTCATGCCTGTTCTCCGCCCACTTGTCCTCCTCAGTTGTGGAAAAGGCAGGTGCACTCCAGGAGCAGTCTCATCCTTGGTTCTAATGTTTGGAAGGCCACACTCCATGTTGCTGCTGTCATCCTGGTCATTTTATCTGATGTTTAACTGGGAGCTCCAAATCGGGACAGTTCTCAGACCAAAGATGTCATCCCGCTAAAGAAGTCTGACCCATCTTGTGTTAGGAGGAAGAAACAGAAAGCTGACAGGCAGGATGCCCAAGAGTTGGCCCTTGAAGCTGTCTCCAGACTAGATGGTAAAGAGCTATGCTCAGATTTGGACCAGTGAAGTTTGGAGGATGACATGTGTCTGTGTTCAATTGCCCCAGTATGTGTGTTACAGTTGGTAGAGACAGGGAGATGTTGGGGGAAGGTGGCACTTGAGCCTCATCTTTCTCTTTGCTGCCTCTGAGATGCTACAGGCTCTGAGATGCTACAGGCTCTGAGATGCTACAGGCGGTGAGGTACTCTCTCCGGCACTCAGGGAGCCCAGTCAAGGGCACCTCCTGGGAAGAATGTGCTTTTTTTTTTTTTTTTTTTTTTTTTTTTTTTTTGTCCTGCTGTGACACCTAGAGCAGGTAGCAGGCTTTTTCTTGGACTCTGTCCTGGCCCCTCGTCACCATGCTGCCTGTCCTGGGGGAACCACATGAGGAGGAGAGCCCATCGGAAGTTCCTGCTGATGCCTGAGGCCTGCCCTGGACTAAGTAGGTGGAGAGCAAAGAAAGGGTAGGGGCTGCTGACCATGACACCATTGATGCTGTGAGCCCTGACCACAAGCTTGCTCCGTGTCTAATTTCTATCCTGTTTGGGAATAGCATGGTGGCCCTCCTCAGCCGTCCCCAAAACATGTTTACATGTTGAGAAATGAACACAGGCACATAGGCTGGACCTTGGAATTTCTACCAGGCACCCGTTCCTTTCCCTAAAGCAAGGTGAAATTGTTCCTCAGAAGGTAAAGGCCACTGTGGCAGAAGGAAGAACTAAACTGCTGCTGGGAGGCCCGAGAAGCCCAGCCCTTCCTCCTCCCGGGCCACAGGCCACAGGCCACACCATGGCCGTGAGGACTCCTGCCTCTCTCCGTCCTTGCAGGGGAGTAACCTTGTTTTTAAAACTCTGTGGGTATAAGATTGGCCCTTTGCTTCTCTTGCCTACCTCTCCATTTTGCTGAGTTAATCTCACCCTGTTTCATCACGTTTAAGGCTGTTAGATTGTGTAAAACTGGGGGGTTGGGAGCGGAGAGGAGGATGGGAGGGAGGGAGGGAGGGAGAGAGAGAGAGAGAGTGTGTGTGTGTGTGTGTCTCCGTCCGTGCATCCTGGCAGACTTTATTAGGTGCATGTTTTTGTTTTCAGTGACTCCATTTCCCTCGCCTTGGTGCTCATTCTGCCGTGACTATGAGGTCACAATGCTTTAAAATCTCCAGGACTGATTCTACCTTGGAGATTTTCTTGTTTTGAAATCTTGCCTGATGAACCTGGCCAATCAGAGGGCCCTGGCCTTGACTTCTGTCCTGGACACCAAGGTCAACATTTGGGAATAGCCAAGGCCACTCTGCTGGGGATCTCCACTGGGCGCTGACCACACTTTCCGACCGGGGTTTGTTTACAGTTACTTTCACTCCCATTCCTGTCCCCACTCACGTTGGAGAATAAGACTATCAGCCTAAAAGGATGAACCACAAAGCCACCTGGAAAATCTCTGCAAGTGTTTCTGTTGAAATCTTCACGAGCCATCAGCGCGTACTCTGTCTGTTGTTTCACTATGAGTGAGTGCTGCAGAGGCAGGGTAGCTCTGGCTAAGGGCTTCCTCAAGTTAACAGAAGGTTACGAACCAGCTGTCACCTTCAGGAGAGGCTGGCCATGATCCCGTGGTTTGACACAGCACAGAGGAAACCCTGCGGCATCGGGACTTGGTGTTGACATACCGTGACTTGTAAGAGAAGCTGGGAGTGGTCAGCCAACATGAATTGTCATGTGACCCAACCATGAACCCTGGATCTTGTCTGTGTGCTCAGGACCTCTTACCTCCCTATAATCCCCCCAATATGCATACTTTAGAGATCTGTCCTCAGATCTATGCTCTGACAAAGAATGACACCCCTGTGGATTCTTAGAGCACATGACACCCATTCACCCATTCCTGCCATAGTCCAGCGACCCGTGGCACTATGGCTGCCCGCTGGACCTCCTGCCCTTAGCTCAGGCCTCGGCTCCATTCACTTGCTAGCTCTTGTCTTCCTTCCACACTGTCAGAAAACCCTTTCTGTATCCTAACCTGGCTCCTCAAGGCTCTCAGTCCCATTACCTGAGGCCTCCCAAGAGTGCCTGAGTGTGGGGGTCCTCTCTTCTCTCCTGAGGGTAGAAATGGCCTCTTCCTAGACGCCTAGATACCAGAGCACAATTGAAGCCCACCGGTGTGTGTGGAACTTGGTGTTTCAGTGTCGTGTGGTCCTCTTGGCAAGGTGTGTGGACGGCGATATAAGAACAGTTACCCAGAATGCCAGTGTTGTTGAGAAGTGCAACTTGGAGCTTGGTCCCTTGATGCCTTGTTGTGTTTCAGAGGACCTGTTCTGGGTTTGCATGTCTAACAGCAAAGGGACAGTTAGGTTGCTGTGGAAGAGCAGGAAGTTCAGGGCATGTGTGAACTGTTCCTTCAGCACACCCCTTGGCCAGGATCTGCTTTGCAGGTTTTGAGATTCTTGTTGTTTGTTTTGTTCTGGTTTTTTGAGATAGGGTTTCTCTGTGTAGTTTTAGAACCTGTCCTGGAACTCACTTTATAGACCAGGCTGGCCTTGAACTCATAGAGATCCACCTGCTTCTGCCTCCTGAGTGCTGGGACTAAAGGTGTGCGCCACCACTGCCCAGCTAGGTTTTGTGATCTTGAGGCCTGTGGACAGCCGGTGGGAGACACCAGGAGTGTGAGAGAAAGCCTTAGGAAATAGCCCCCACCCTGTGTCTCTTCAGATGTGGGCAAGAACAGGTCAGCTACCAGCTCTTTCTGAGGAATGGGCCTCCCTGTTCACTAGATAGGACTGTCTGCTTGTCAGAGCTTGCAAGACTCAATCTTCTGGAAGGAAAAGGGAACTTTCCACAGTGAATGTTAACGTGTGTGCACGCGCACTTGCTCGAACTTGTGTGTGTGTGTGTGTGTGTGTGTGTGTGTGTGTGCGCGCGTGCGTGCATGTGTGTTTACTTCGTGGAATTTTATTTTTGTGAAATACCTTTCCAGTTATTTAGCAGAATTCACCTATATCTCCCTGCCAAACTTAGGTTCCACAATTATAACCCTGGGCATAGTGAATTTGGAATTCCTTTGGGATTTCTGATCTGGCATTCTCAAGAGCTGAGATTATGCAAGGGAGGGGAGACACTGACATTTTATACATTTCCTCGTTTACACCCTGCAGGCTAAAAGGTCTCATGGCCTCCACTAGGCTATGTCTCTCTTGGGGGGGGTCCAGTACCCCACCCCCAGGCACTCTGCCACCCGACTCTTCACCCTGTAAAGGGAAAGCAGGCTTTCTCTGCCTGCTTAGTGCCCCTGCTGAAACAGCATGTTTTCCTTCAAGCTCTCCAGGTTTTAGCGTCTGTGCACAGGCTGTCTGCTGTGTGCCTTGGTGATGGTCTAGGGTTCCTTTGAGGGCAGCTACACCTGGGTTAGGGTCACTGTCACCGAAACCAGAGATCCTCGGGACTGCCCGCCTGAGCCCAGTCCTCTTGATGCCCTGCTGTTGACAGGCACAATTCCACCAGCTGTACCCAACACTACAATGCATTTTTAAAAATATATTTGCATCTAAGACAATAAAAAAAAAACTTATTTTTTTTGGAAAGCTTGTTCTGTGTGACCATCAATGCTGCCCATTGAGCAGTGGGAGGGGGGTGAAATGAGGTCAGAGCCATGTGATGTCCTGGCTCGACGGCAGGCTGGCTCTCTGCATCCTGAGGAGTTGATAAAGTTTAGCCAGAAACGTAGGTATGTGGAGTGGGTGAGCAAGAGGATTCTGGAGGTATGTCCAAGAAGATGATGGTCCTAGAAGCCCACATGCCCGAGAGAACTGATGGCAAACACTGGACATGGTGAGTGCTAGCTCTTCCCCACCTCACCCACCGACCCCCACCCCCGAGACAGGGTCTGTCTTTGTAGCTTTGGAGCCTGTCCTGGAAATCGCTCTGTAGACCAGGCTGGCCTAGAACTCACAGCCACCACTGCCTGGCTACCTTTTATACCCGATGGTCAGGTAACTCATGGAGCTCTGTGCCCATAGTGTACATTACTATTAGCATGGCCTATGCTGACCTGACAGCTTTAAAAGGGTCCCAAGCCATGGTAATGGCCAAGGACACAGTGGGTCTCCCTGCTAACTGTTGGCCCAGCACCCTTTGTTCAGCGCTGAGAAGGTTCTGCTCATGCCTGTTTAAATTGAAAGCTTTCCTTTCTCCATATTATCTTCCCAAGTTGCTCAATTCACCCTGACTCTCTGCACCTGGACAGAGTGGCCAATAAGAGTCAGCCTTTATGGGAATTACTAGTTTTTTTTTTTTTTTTTTTTCATGAGGTAACGGTCTAGATCTAAATCTCTGTACCTGAAACTCTGTGAGCTAATAAGCACACTTATCTTGTCAAAACGCCACACCTCCAAGAAACTCATGACATGAAGCAAGATGCTAGGCCCTGAGAACTGGAGTCCCTCCAGAGAAAGGTGAGTGTGGTTCACAGGCTTGTTAGCTAGAAGGACCTTGGTTTCTGCTGGGCTACATGAGAAGTATCTGCTCTGTTCTTACCAACATTCAGAATCCATCTCTATGTGTCTATGGGCTTTTAAAGATTCCACAAGAGGCAGAATTTGGAGGAGGCCAAGTATGGAGTCTGGAGAGCCAATAACAGCAGTTTAAGTTTGGAGCAGAGTGAGGGTGTGGTCAGTGTCCCCGAGAGCCCAGTGGCTGGATGTGTATTGAACCCCTGCTGTGGTCAGACTTTACAGTGTAGAAACCTCTGAACAGTTCTCAAGTTCATGGGATGCGTATTCCTGTTAACACAGGGAGGCCAAGACTCTGAGAAGACGGAAAGGTCATCTTCATCTTTTACCAGGTGCCAAGCCCAAATCTAAAACCTCGCCCTTGATACCCTCATCCTCTCACCTCCTTGGCCCATTAACACCAGACTCATTCCTTCTCAGTTCCAAGTCCATCCGTTTTGTCCAAGCTCCTGTCATCACTCCATGCCTGGTTATGTCATTTCCTAGCTGACACACACAAGGTGTACTCCGTCCCAGTCTGTCTGTGTCTCTGCCTCACAGTGGGGACTTTCAGGGACCCAAGTCTAGTCATGTCACTCTGTGTCCAGCTTCCTGGGTAAAGCTGCACACCCTAATGCAAGCCCTTTCCCTATCTTACCCATCTGGCGCCCGCTTGCCTTTGCAAACCCATCTTTGTTCTTTGTTGTTCCATGCATATACAATGCATAGATTGGTATTTTATTTTCCAAGGTTTTCCCCAAGGCAGGTTCCCTACACCCAAACCCTTCCCTGTTTTAATTCTTCCCCACCCCTACCCCTGCCCCCAGTACTAACACTTTTTTCTTCTCCAGGTTTAATTGGGGGACCGGCCCTAGTTCTCCCTCCAATCAGCTGGCCTCAAAGAGCCCTGCGTTCCCCAGAACACTGGTGTGTTCCAGATCACTCTGGATTTCTTCACAGCCCATTAGGACCAAGACACATTGCCTCTTGTTCACTGTGACACCCAGCACACAACTAGCATACGGGGACCTAGGTGACCTGTGGATCAACTCTAGCCCCAGGCTTACTCACTGGCCACCTCGCCTGCCGTTCCCAGAAAGGGTAAAAGAAGAAAGATTTCTGTGTAACAATTC